TCATACATCTTTCCTAATTTTAAACCATGCAGTAGTCCTTCTTTCCGTCCCCACAGCTGCCTACTGATGTGTGTACAGATTCTGCATGAACATAATAAAGTATTTTCGAATTCCCATTCTTCTCAAGACAGCCCATAGTGTTTGAGGGTCTCCAAAGTCAAATGCTTTGTCTAAGCCAATGAAACACAAATAAACATTTCTGGTATTCTCTGCCCTCAGCCAACATCTGCAATGATATCCCTTGTACCAAGGCTCTTCTGAATCCGGCCTGAACCTCAGGCAGCAACCTGTCTCTGTCAGCAGTCTCCAAAAACTGCTGCCACTGTTGTTGGATGATCTTTACCAAAATTTTACTTGCACGTGGTATCAATGGTAATTTGCACATCTATATACACCTATAAGGAAGACCATTTAATATAACTATTGTTCAAAATTAGCGTACCAACTAGTAATGCCAGAGATGAGTAGATTAAGTTTTTACCAACTTCTTCAATCTGAAATTAGTCAAACATGCAATATAAATTTATTGTTCCTTGCTGCTAACTAGAATGAGTAAGCTGGAAACAATAATAAACAGTTGGAAAATGATGAGAGTGGTATAAGAAATCATGCCAGCTATGAAACAAAATTTTGCCAAAGACTTCTGCACTGAAAAAACTTTTTTCAACAACATAACGGTAACTAACATGTAGGTCTATTAGATGGAATACACAAGAATCAAATCAATTACATCTGTAGGAAGCGTCAAAGGAGAAGCACAGTATCAGAAAAAGGCTAATGCCAATTGCAAAACAAACCATCAATTATTCATGTATGTAAGTTCACTTAAAGAAAACTAAAACAACCCAGAACAAAATCATACCCATGGTGAATGGGAGGGTGGGGCATGGAATGGAGACACAATGTCCATCTGTAGACAATTGGACATGCCCTCAAAGAAGGGTCACCGGGAAAAGATGAGCCACTCAGGGGGCAGTATGGCACCGATGAAACACAACTTTTCTCTAGTTCTTTGGTGCTTCCTTCACCCCACTATTATGACCTCAATTCTACCTTACAAACCGGACTAGACCAGAGCATGCACACTGCTAGAGATAAGAGCCCACAACACAGGGAATCCAGGATAGATAAACCCCTCAGGGCCAACAATGAGAGTAGAGGTACCAGTAGGATTAGGGGAGGAGAAGGGAAGAAAGGGGAAAAGGATCACAACGATCAATCTATAAACCCCTCTCAGGTGGACAAATAACGGAAAAGTGGATGAGGAGGATGGAGGACGATGTAAGATATGGAAATAATAATCTATAACTTATCAAGGGTTCATGAGGGAGGGCAGACAGAGGAGAGAGGGGGAAGAAGTGGGGAGCTGATATCAGGGGCTCAAGCGGGAAAAGAATGCTTTGAAAATTATGGTGGCATACATGCAAAGGTGCTTGACACATGGATGAATGTATGGATTGTGAAAAGAGATGTAAGTATGTAAAAAGAGAAAACAAAACCATGAGAGCCAAAGTATGGACTTGAGTATACAGCCCAGCCCACTGCCACCGAGTCCACTCTGATTCATACTGACCATAGTTAGTTTCCAAAGCTACAAATATTGACAGGCACAGATAGTCTCATCTGCTCCCACAAGGTGCTCGGGGGGTTCTGACCTGTTGGTTCAGCAAACCAATGCTTACCTGACAGCCCTATAAGGGCTCCTTGACCTTAAGTATACCCCACGTGAATTTCGAGACCAAAAATAGGTCTAACACAGTGAACATTGACTGCAAAAAACTGGGCTAGTTGTGGGAACATGTAAAAAGAATGTCGAAAGATCATTAAACAGGAAGGGGAAAAAAGGACTAACATCTATTGGATGAGACTATAACTTTCTCTTAAACATATAGTAGCTAAAACAAAAGGAAAAAACTGATGAAAGATTTCAAAAGGTGGCTAGAGAAAATAATGTAAAATATTATAATGAAATGTGTAACCTGGAATTCAGAAACATGCTTAGTATTTCTCAAGCTGAAAAGCTAAAGAACAAATTAAATCCTCAATATGAAATACTGAAGAAGTCTAATGGACAAGAAATTGAATGCCTCAGCAAACAGCAAAAGATAGAAAAAAATTAACGCAAGATTACTGTATCAAAAAGAAATGATTAAAAAACTGCAGCCAGCTGAGGTGCTTGCCGAGGGCAAAGGTAATACAGAATGGGTATTATAAGAAGGTAGTTCTACCTATCAGTTACAACTACATGATCAAATGCAAAAGCAAGGTTTGTGATTGTTACTGTATTTTCTTTATATGTGCTTATTGAGTATCTTTCCTTTGTTCATGTATATCAGATAAAATTGGACACAGTGTGTTTTCATTTATAACTATATGTTTGATGTTAAGGATAAATGCGATTTCATTCATGTCTGAAAATTATATATGGCTAAAGAATTGTGTAGAGGTGCCAAGTTGGCAAGGGGTGGATTGTAATAGGTTTGTTGTGCCAACATGGTCAATGAACACATGTGAGATTAATTGAAGGGCAGAGAGATAAATGGCTCGGCAAGCCTTGTCTCTCTCTCTCCTGTTTTTTGATCATTGGACCAGTGTCCAGCTGCCTTGCTTGTTCAGTTTGCAAGCTACACACCTGTGGGACATCTAACCTGTGGACTGTGTCGCTGTAACTTAAGGTTCCTTCAAGACCTGCTTCACCACACTACTGGAATGTACAGCTCTTAAGCTGGGAACTGTTGGACCTTGTCATCTGGCTGACTGTTGGTGACCTGCCTTGCTGTTTGCTGCCTGTGGCCAGATAGCCTGAATTGCTCTATGGAGGACTACCCGGCGGCCCTCAAGACTTGAAGAACTGCCAGTGTTACTAGCTATATCAAGGAAGTGAGTTGCACTGAGCCATTTGTACTGCTTTATAGATTAATTGTTTTTCTTATGTTATCTATCTCTATAAATACACATAAAATTTTTTTAAAAAGAAATGATTAACATACCACCATTTCAGGGGACAGTATATAAGCAAGTGAGGAGCCCTGATAGTACAGTGGTGATGCATTGGGCTGTGATCCCCAAGATCTGCAGTTTGAAACCAAGAGCCACTCCTTCTGAGAAAGATGGGGATTTCCACTCCCATTAAAGATTAATCTCAGAAAATCAACAGTGGGCCGTTCTAACCTATCCTATAGGATCACTATGAGTTGGCATTGGCTCTACGGCAGTGAGTTTGGTGTTTTATGTGAGCAAGTGCAGATAGGTTGTATTGAAAGATGTAGTACTGGTGGAAACACAAGGCTCCAAAAATTGTGTAGAATACCAGTTGAGATGCTGGAAAAGCTCACTAGCTTTTGCAAAGAAGTTTAGAAAATAGCTTCATGGCCAACTCAGGTGAAAAGATTCCATATTCATGCCCACTACAAAGAAGATGATCCAACACAATAAGGGAATTATCAAATTATATTAATATCACATGCAAGTAAATTATGCTGAAGATAATATAAAAACCATTCCAGTAATACATTGACATGGAACTGCTAGAAACTCAAGCTAGATTCATTAGAGGTATGGAAAGTAGGGTAACAATGCCCTTGCCAAATGAATCTTGGCTGAAAGCTGGGACTAGAAAGATGTGTTTTACTGACTATGCAAAAGCATTCAATCGTGGATTATATAACAAGCTACAGATAGCATTGCAAAAAATGGGTATTCCAGAACATTTCATTGAGCTCATGCAGAGATTATACATAGACCAAGTGGCCATAGTTCAAATACAAGTCATTACTGCATGGTTTAAAACCAGCAAAGGTGCATGTCAAGTGTTGTAAACCTTTCACAATACTTATTCAATCTGTGGGCTGAGCAAATAATCGGAGAAACTGGGATATAGGAAAAACATGGCATTAGAATTAGAGGATGGCCCATTAACAACCTCCAAATGCAGATGACACAACCTTGCTTGCTGAAAAAGAGACATGAAGCAACCACTGATGAGCATCAAAGAATACATCCTTCAGTGTTGCTTTGTCTCCCAGAGCGCACTACTTTTATTTCTCTGTCATCCTCGCACTTTCAGTGGAGTTTGGGAATTCACTGCAATGACAACACAGAACTTTCAGATGAGCCGCATGTTACAATTCGTGCAGTCTCTCTTCACCCTGTCTCTTGCCTTGCTCCAGCTATGTTACAAAACTCTTTCAGAACAGACAATAAATGTCCAAAGGGCTTGGGACTCTGCCATAAGCCTCAGCCTGAAGGCACTAAGCTCCAGCTGTTTGTCAGCAAACCCAGCTCCCTCAATTAAATGCCCACAGGAACCCCACTCTACATGTCAGCTTCCTACCAAAAGGCATTCAGCTTTGCTTTACTTGCTTTTGGGGTTGGGAAGTTCACCCGTGCATCTCATGCTTTGGCTCTTGGATCTGCTGCTGCTCATATGCCACCACTCTGTGTCTACTGGTCCAGCTGCCTACTGGACCTAGAAGATTCAATGCACAAGGGAGCTCAGGGTCCAAAGGGCATACTCCACTCCGAGATAGTCTCTCTTGCTGGTGAGGTGCCTGTCCCCTTTCCTGTTTTTGAGATGGTTCCTTTTAGACCAACCAGGATGAGAACCACATTTCACTATTAACAATCACTCACTGCTGAATCATACAATCCAATCAATATCTTCCCCCACCTTTTTACCAAGAATCATCAGGAAAACAAAGGTCATTTAGTGGAGCTAACAAAAGCTATGGCTAGAAAAAGCCGTATTCAACAATTCACTACACTGCCAAGTACAGATTACACCTCAACATAAACAAAACTTCTCACAGTACACCAAAAAACCACATCATGTTAAACAAGAGAAAAGGTTGAAGTTGTCAAAGATTCATTTTATTTGCAGCCACAACCAATGGCCATGAAATCAACAATGAAGGGGTCAAAAGACCTACTGAATTGGGCACATCTGTGGCAAAAGATTTTTAAAGTGTTAAAAAGCAAGGACATCACTTTGAGGACTGGGATGTACCTGACCCAAGCCAACGTATTTTAATTACCTCAGGCATACAAAAACTGACAATTAAGTGGAAGACTGATGAAGAACTGATGCCTATGGATTGTGGTATTGAAAAATACTGAATACAACACAGACTGTCAAAAAAGAACAAAAATCTGTCTTGGAAGAAATACAGTACATCCAGAATGCTCCTTAAAAGGGGGATGGAGTGGTTTCATCTAAGGACTTTGGACATGTTATCAGGAATGACCAGCCCCAGAAGAAACACATCATGTATGATAGAGGGAAAACAAAAAAAAGGAAGACCCTCAAGAACACAAATTGACTCAATGGCTTCAACAATGGCCTCAAACATATCAATGCTTGGCAAAGTACAAGGAAGTGTTTTGTTCTGTTGTACATAGAGCTATAATGAGCTAGAACTGATTCAAGGACACCTAACACCCTACGTTTGCTATTATATAATCTAACCATGATCTAAATCTAAAACCGTGAACTTAGAAATTCAAAATTCTTTAATGATCTCAAAGGAGTTAAGAATATTCTTAAACTAATAGAAAACTTAACATTTACTGAGCACTCACTATGAGTCATATCACTGTAAGTGCTTATTAACTCATTTACGCCTCAGAAACATAGTATGAGGAAGCTACATGCTATTCCTTAATGTTTTAGAAATTAAAAACACTGCATAGGAAATTAATTTACTCAAGCAAAAATAAACAGATTCTTCCTCTAAAGCAGTGGTTCTCAACATTCCTAATGAATGTCACGACCGTTTAATACAGTTCCTCATGTTGTGGTGACCCCCCCAACCATAAAATTATTTTCGTTGCTACTTCATAACTGTAATTTTGCTGTTATGAATCGTAATGTAAATATGATATTTACACAGTACATGTAGCTGCTGTCTACACATGACTGGTCCACATAAGTACATTATGGCGCCAACCCCTTCACATACACCTGTATTTGTGCGGGGTGTATGTGATGGGGTTGGCCCAATGATGTCATCACACCGGGTACTCCTATGTGGGAGGATCTGCATGTGGGAGGACCCACCTGGAGATCCTCATAGAGGAGCGGTGTCTCGGTTCCTAAGACCATCGGGAATATGTGTTTTCTGATGGTCTCAGGTGACCCCTGTGAACAGGTCGTTCGACCCCCAAAGGGGTCACAACCCATAGGTTGAGAATCGCTAAAGAAATAAAGCCGGCCCCCCGCCTGGGCGGCCAGGGAAGCCAGGCGTATCTCTCCCAAGCGCCTTTGTTCGCTGCGGCCTGCTGGCAAGGGCACAGCATAGTGGGGAGCCAGAGGCCAAGCCATGGTCCAGGATCCAGCTGGCACCTGAGTATTCTCTTCTCACTGGTAAGACTTCCTCCGGAGTTTTCACTGCATCCTGTATGTGGCCTGCTGCACAGTATGTGATGGTAGCTCTCCACTGGAGTTTCTGACGGAGCCAGGCAGGGCGGATGCATGAGGCTGATTGCCGAACTCAAGGAAGGACATCAGTGTGGAGGAACCTGGATGTGCCCGTGACTAGGCTCCACGCCGTGTTCCCTAACGTGTGAATTAAGACACTCCTTTTCCCATGTTAATGATCAGTTTGTATTACCATGCACATCTGTTCAAAAGAACGCCCAGCTCTGTGGTCTGAGAGAGGCAGGTGCCCCTGTAAAACTGGTCCTAAGTAAGAGGAGACCCAAACGGACTCCAGGATATTTGCTAGTAACAGGAGAGTCAAAAAATGGCAGTTTGTTCAGATATTTGCCACTTGTTTTATACTAAGCCTCATGGTTTATTGGAGCCCATTTGATAATCCCGTCGTGAGCCACATGAAGTCCTACTCGTACAGATTACCTCTTCAATGGTTAAGACTTTGTTACCAACTCCCTGTCTGTGAACCGCAGCTCGGAGGACGCCCGTGGCTTCCAGTACTTGATTAACCCCGAGGACAAGTGTCAGGGCCAGGACATCCTCCTCTGGCTGTTTGTTAAGACAGCGCCCGAGAACTATAAACGCCGCTCTGTGATCAGGAAAACATGGGGCAATGAGGAGTATGTTCGGTCTCAGCTGAATGCCAACATCAAAACTCTGTTTGCTCTGGGGACACCCCCTAATCCGCTGGAGAACGACGAACTGCAAAGAAAACTGATTTGGGAAGATAAACTATACAATGATCTCTCATCCAGCAAGACTTTGCCGATTCCTTCCACAACCTGATGGGAAGTTACTTCTGCAGTTCAGATGGGCAAACACATTCTGTCCGCAGGCCAGATTCTTTATGACTGCTAATGATGACATATTTATCCACATACCAAATGTGATTGAGTACCTTCAGGGGTTAGCCCAAATTGGTGTACAAAACTTTTGGATTGGTCGTGTCCATCGAGGTGCCCCTCCCATCTGAGACAAAAGGAGCAAATACTATGTCTCCTGTGAAATGTACCAGTGGCCGGCCTACTCTGACTACACGTCTGGTGCTGCCTATGTGATCTCCAGGGACGTGGCCACCAGAGTCTATGAGGCTTCGCTGACCCTCAACTCGAGTATATATAAAGATGGTGTGTTCATGGGCCTCTGTGCCAATAAAATGGGATCGCACCCCAATACCATGTGTTCTTTTCTGGGGAAGGGAAAATTCCCTATCACCCGTGCATATAAGATAAAACGATGACATCCCACCAACACATACAAGACCTCCAGAACCTTTGGAGGGATGCCACAGACCCTACAGTCAAGACGATTTCAAAGGGTTTCTTTGGTGAACTATACTGTCGAGTCATTAAGATCGCTCTCCTTTGAAAATTGCGATATATGAACACTTACCCTTGCAGCGCTGCATTCGTCTAACGGTACTTGAACGTGGTCTGTTTTCACTGTCACTGAGCCAAACCCGATGGGAACACTTGGAAATGTGTGTCTATGCCTGAAGTAAGATGCCTATGGAAGACAACAAAATATTTTGAAAGCCTTGTCGCTCAGAATGTTTCTTTGATTCTAGGAGCCAGTCCATGTAACTTTCTTACTTTGTGGCCTAGATTCATTCCAAGGAGTTTGTATTTCGAAAAGGTTTATAATTTTCATGAAAGCAACAATAAAGGGATGTTCCGGTCCTCACTTAATGCCAAGGAGCACTTGTAGTGTTAGACAGCTGTGTTGGAGAAATACCAGGTGGAATGATAGTGTAGTACATTTCAGAGATACGATGTGTTGCTGGACCAGGTATGCAAGCTAACTTCTATTAAAGGGCGCTGGGCATAGGAGTGTTAGCATGGGAGAAAGTACATGAAGAATCTGCTAAAAGAAAAACTCTTATTATTAAGAGGAGATTCAGAAATGTGTATGCATTTTATTACCAACAGCCAAGTCATTTATATTGTCACATCCATGTAGCTCTCGTACCGAGATAGTGTTGGAGTTGTTGACATTTGCATGTTTTCTTTTTTTCAAAGTTCAGTGGCAAATGTCATTAACTCTGCCTTAATTGGGTGTCTGTATGGCTTTTTTTTTTATATTAGAAGATGACACAGAATTTGATGGTTTGTTGCCTATAACACCCTTCCCTTGGGAGAAATCAGTGTTAATTAAGATAAGTTGATTTTAACTTAGTGCATTTTTTTTGGGTGGGTTGTCTTTTCTCTTTTTTTTTTTTTTTAATCGTTTTACTAGGGGCTCATACAACTCTTATCACAAGCCATACATACATCAATTGTGTAAAGCACATTTGTACATTCATTGCCCTCGTCATTCTCAAAACATTTGCTCCCCAATTAAGCCCCCAGCATCAGGTCCTCATTTTTTCCCCTCCCTCCCCTCTCCCCGCTAACTTAGTGCATTTTCAACTGGTTTTTAAATGTCCAAAATTGGTCCATGTTTAAGGCAATTATTTTCAGTTCAGTTTGCATATTAGAAATATGATCATGGAAAAGGCTTTGAAAGAAAAGACCACATTAAAAACTGCTTTTCTACATCATAAGAGAGAAAAATTCTTTGTGCCTAAATCATTGTAAGGATTACTAACAGTAGCTCACCCATCCCCAGCAAGGCGTCATAAACTATAATACTTTGCTCCAGGTTCAGATTTTTTTCACTGAGAGCATTAAGTTCAAATTCAAAGCCACAGTGTCTTTCTAAGAGCCACCCTTTCCTCAAAATAACCATAATAGGGGACCTTCAACTTTCAAATATTTTCGAGGAGGAAGTAGAATGCTAAGGGAGACAAGAGTCCCCAGAGTGAGACCCTTGGTGTTTGTCAAGCGACAGACCCGCACACTCCCAAGAGAGGGGGCTGGGGTCTAATGAGTAAGTCATGCCTGATAAAAACATGGTCCAGGTGCAAAGAACCCTGCCTCCCTGTCAGAAAGAATTGCTGTTTGGAGGGCGGGAGAAAGGCCGTCTGGTTCCCTGTGGAAAGGGGACTGTGCCGCAGAACGGCCTGCTGGAAAAGCTAAGCTCCCTGTTTCCTAAGATGGTGTCCGAAGCAGGCAAAACCCAATGGAACGCTCAGTCTTCCCAGCCGGGACATGACATTTACAATCGAGTGGGCAGGTTTTCCACATTTACAAACTTTTTTTTTTGGAGGGGGGGGTGTAATTGTTATTAATTTAATTTTGATTTTGGAAAATGAGGCTTGTTGACGTTGTTCAGGTCCTTTAGTATGGTTTTACCAGTGCCAGAGCGACAGTGGCAAACGCGGCACGTGGTAGTCACTTTCAAGCGGGAGTTCAGGAAGTCTTGAGCATTGCCATTCAAAATGTTGGGGCCTGTTTTAAAAACTATAGAGAAACAAAGGACATCCTTGTCGAGGCGCATCCTAAATCAATTTTTCCTGGTCGATCCTCTAGAGTCTTGGTGGTACAATTTTAATAGCTGAACTGCTTAACCCAAAGGTCAGCTGTTTGAGCCTCCTCCCAGCCACTCCATGGGAGAAGTATATAGCTGTGCGCTCCTGCGAAAATCTAAAACCTTGGAAACCCATGGGGCAGCTCTTCTCTGTCTTCTCTGGTCACTGTGAATCACATGGACTGAATGGCATTGGGTGTACATGTAGTTGATCCGTAAGGAACCCTTTTCCTTGCCATAGCTACCCTGTATGTCTATGCTGGTGACTCTTTAAAATTGCCGATGGTGGAAAACATCCCGTGTTTGCGTAGCTGTGGAGATTATCCTGTTTACAACTGAGCTTTCATGAAACAATCATTTATTTGCTGAAAGCAATCTCCTAAACTGTGTTCACTTTTAATTTTTTGCTTAGACTAGAATGTAACAGGTTTAACTGTGAAGGAATATGAAGGCGCTTCCTTTTCTTTTAAGAGGAAGATGCTGGATGCTTCCTTAACTAGACTTAAAAATACTGAAGAGTATTATCAATGAAAGGATTCTAACCTTTTAAAAAGGAAAGGAAAAATAAAATCACTTTAGTGCTCCAATGAAGGCCTGTCTTAAAATGTCAACGAGGAGAAAAATGAATGAATCAAACGACCAGCCTGGATGTTCACTTGGATAGATGGTAGATGTCCAGAATGTTATTGCTAAAAACATTTTACCTCTGGGTTGGTTTATAACTTCTTTTCCCCATTACTAATTTTATACATATACAAAAAAGTTAAATATTTATATTTGGAATTCTGCTGCAGTATGGCAAAAGATTATGGGGATATAAAAAAATATTTGAAAAAAAAATGATTTCCAATAAATGACTTAAACATGGAGGGGGGGGTGGAAGAAAGCCAAAAAAAATTTAAAAGTCCAAACCAAACCCACTACCATCAGGTAAATTCCAACTTATAACAACCCTACATAGTACAGGGTAGAACTGGCCCCTGTGGGTTTCTCCAAGACAAACTCTTTTCAGGAGCAGAAAACCTTGCCTTTCTCGGAAGTAGTTTCAACTGCTGATCTTGTGATTAGCAGCCCAACCAGGACTCCTACTAAAGAAATAAGGTCCCACAAAAATCAATAGTAACATATTCTATTTCCAGCAAGGTAGGAAATTAGTATCTTAATATTGCATCAGATATAAAAGCAGTACTATCCACACATGAGAAGCTGCAGAATCAAAGTATTTTTTCCCAGTTACTTTCATTAAAATACATTTTCTGAAACTGTTTAAGGAAAATTACTAAATTTCTAAATTTAAACATCTGTGTTTCTAATGGAAAAATATGTTAATGGACAAGTATATCCAATCAAAGCTGAAATTTGGGTTCTCAAATATCACATAATAATTGTTATGCAATGGCAATATTGTAGTTACAAAGGAAATTCTCATTTTAAGAAGTGTCATGATATCTATACTAATTTTAAATGGTTCAACAACAAAAATTTGTATGGCAGAGTGTCAGCAATGAAATCTGGATGAAGGGTATACAAGCGGTCACTAAGCTACACTTTTAACTTTTCCTCTAAGTAAAATAATTCTTTTAAAAGTTTGATAGAAGGGAAAAAAGTTTGACAGGGAAAAGCCATCAGGACAAGGAGTTTACTGAGTTTATTTTTATCTCTGAAAAGGGGGCAGATAGGTCAAATACGTTTGGGAACCTATGGCTTTGTTCAACGTTTCTAAGTTTACAAATTTTCACAATAAAAAATGTGGGAATTTTGGGTTTTTTAAAGGGTGTTTTTCTTTTTTAGGGGTTGCTGGAAAGAAAACTTAGAATCTTCCTACATACCTCAAATAATTTGTTAGGAATTACAATTAGAAAGGTTCCAAAAGTAAGAGTAAGACACAGACCATGCAACAAAGCCCACATGGAACAACTTATCAGCCTGTGATCACGAGGTGTCGAACAGATCACTGAAGACAAATGGGTGCATAAGCAAATGTGGTGAAGAAAGCTGATGGTGCCCGGCTATCAAAAAGTATAGCGTCTGGGGTCTTAAAGGCTTGAAGGTAATCAAGCGGCCATCAAGCTCAGAAGCAACAAAGCCCACATGGAAGAAGCACACCAGCCTATGCAACCACAAGGTGTCGAAGGATCAGGTATAAGGCATCATCAGAACAAAAAATCTTACCATAGTGAATGATGGCGGGAGTGCGGAGTGGAGATCCAAAGCCCATTAGTAGGCCACTGGAGATCCCCTTGCAGAGGGGTCTTGGGGAGGAGACGAGCCAGTCAGGGTGTGATGTAGCAACGACAAAAAATACAACTTTCCTCTAGTTCCTAAATGTTTCCTCCCCGCTCCCACTATCATGATCCGAATTCTACCTTGCAAGTCTGGCTAGACCAGAGGATGTACACTGGTACAGATAGGAACTGGAAATACAGGGAATCCAGGGCGGATGAGCCCTACAGGACCAGTGGTGTGAGTGGTGATACAGGGAGGGTAGAGGGAGAGTGGGTAGGAAAGAGGGAACCGATTACAAGGAACTATATGTGACCTCCTCCCTGGGGACAGACAACCGAAAAGTGGGTGAAGGGAGACATTGGACAGGGCAAGATATGACAAAATACCCATTTATAAACTATCAAGGGCTCATGAGGGAGGGGGAGCGGGGAGGGAGGGGAAAAATGAGGACCTAATGTCGGGGGTTTAAGTGGAGAGAAAATGTTTTGAGAATGATGTACAAATGCGCTTTACACAATTGATGTATGTATGGATTGCGATAACAGTTGTATGAGCCCCTAATAAAATGTTTCAAAAAAAAAAAAAAGACACAGACCATGTTCTAGAGGCCTTGGGTACCTTTGACTAAAACCTCAAAGATTAAAATGAAGTTCCCAATTCTATTAATGTATTCTAATTATACAGTATCTAGCAATTTACAGATGCTGGCTATGCTTTCTGATACAAAAAGGCATCAAAAAGCTCATGGAAAAGCAAAATAATTGAATTTGTCCATGAACTTCTTGGCCATCCTTCTTTATACATACCAAGTGAATATTCTGATGGCCAATGAGTCCTCATTCTCTCATTTCAATATAAATGAAATTATTAAA